TGATCTGTAGGAAAAAGGTACACTTTTTTTACTTCAATTCCTCCCATTTGTCTCCTCAGTGCAATTAATTGAACTTACTGATGATCCCCAATATCATTTCTAGGTATCCTTCTACAATACATACCACCATACTGTCCCAAGTTGAACCCTATCGATTTTGGATTCAATGTGTCAAAGTTTGTTGTCTCGAGATCACAAGTTTTAGTTACGAGGTCAAATCCAGTCGAACGGAATTTTGTATCATCATTGTGGTTTTCAGATATTTGAAGGGGAGCTCGTTTGTTTGTATTAGATGAATTGTAGTTAGAGAAGATTGTCATCGTATAAAAATTAGAAACAAGGAATTATAGATAAGATTGGCGTGAAACTGAAATCGTTTCAATCTTCTTCAAAGGATCACAAGCAAAGCGATCGATTTTGATCTTGTTTGTGAAATCAGTCTCTAGATTACACAAGAGAGCTGAGATTTTTCACAATCTTTTTTGTAGGAGCATAGGAAGGTTGATTGGTTTTGACCGAGCAAAATCAATCGATTCTTGGATGTGGAATGTCTTCAAAAAAATGAGATCGTTGTTAATCTTGACTTCAAACCCAATGAGATCTTAGGTTTTATTTCATAAGAGATTTGAGATTGTTCTCAAGTTGCGATCATAGGATTGCCTTGTAGGAGAATCAATCAGGAATTGATTGGTTTTGATATTGGTCATAACCAGTCGATGTTTCTGATGATCTTGCTTACCTTGAAAAGTCACTCACATTTGAGATATCTTTCATGAGATATCCAATTGTTATTCAGCATAGCTTGGCACCGGACAAGTTGAGGATATTAGGATACATCTCATTCAACTTGGCTTTTGTCTCACCTTAGCACAGCAGTTGTGAGCTCCGTAAAAACTTCATCATCATTTCTTTTTTTGATTTGTTAACAAATGCTCGTTATGATCAATCCAACAATTCAAAACCTTCTTGAAAGAGTGTGGGAAGAAAGAGCTGGTGAGGTGATGGTGAGACAAAGCTAGGCAAGACGATCACGGATATCAGACTGTGTTGTGAGGATGGTCATCTGAATCGAACAATACAAAAAGTTTGTTAGAAAGCACACCAATAGATAATAAAGAAGAGATATATTTTAATGTAACTCGTAAAGTGACTTACCAAGAGTTTGACAACGTCATCTTGCAAGAGTGTGCAAAGAAAGAGGTCAAGGTGATGGGGAACTAGAGCCTAGAGATGGGTGATGGACCAGAGGAATGGTAGGGAGGTCGCACCAGAGCCGACAGGACCAGACAGCACCCCCAAAATCCTTCTCTCTGCTGCGTTGTGACTGCTGCGGCAAAATCTGGGTCTGATTCTGTTTTATTTTTTCTCGATCGGACCAAGCTTTTTAGCAAAAGTAATATCAGGAATTCTCAGGGAAAACCCGGATCCTACAGTCTACACTCTTCATGCCTGGAACAAAAACTCGTTCGAGGGTTCAAAAATCTAAACTCTCTTATGATTTACCTCACCTTAAACTTTTCCTTACGATCAGGGAAGAAATAGGTTCAGTTCCATTTGAGTCGTGCTCACAATAAGCCGCCTGAGAGCCTATCAATGACCTTATCGAAGCAAAACTATGTGCCGGTTTGGTACTGATCAGTTGATTGATAACATATAGTTAGCTTGACACAAAGCCGTCAGTAGTGTTACACATCTGATAAATCAATGGTCAAGATTCGACTTGCGGGCTCATTGAAGCTTACTGTGTCGGCGTCAAAGTGAGCACGGCCAATGAGGAGGTCACGCGGTTTTGGGTCTATCGACCTATTTCAAGCTCGTTATCGAGACCAGGTAGCCTCAAAAAGATTGGTGGTAGTTGGAACGAATGTTTTAACTCACAGGAATCGGGGTAGGCGGGTAGGCTTTGTAAGACGCTGTGATTTTTCGGGAAAGACGCGTCACCTGATTTCCAAAAGAACTTACTAAACCACGGTTTTCAAGCACAGCAACCATTCTGCTATTCTCTTCTTTGATTGATTCTTCTGTGGTTTCTGGTTGTTCTTTTCCTCTCATTCTACATTATTACTTCTGAATAATTGTATCATCCAATTTCATTCTCAACAGTTTTTAGCTCTCGTTTCTCTCAATAAACATCTTAGTAGTTTAAAAACTTGTTAGAAATTTTTTCTCCCACCGTCCCACCCTCTGATTGGGGGACTTCGTTATCTTAATTGTAGCCACCCCATCGAGCTTTCGGCATCTCTCTCTGCAATTTCGAGTCAGACCCTCCGGGGCCGTCCTACGTTAAATCAGTAGCGTTGTTGAAAACTCTAAGTCTGTCCCAAACCTCGCGCCAATACAATTCCCAGTTGATATTGCCCTTTTGAATCATTCTCAATTTCATGGTGAACAGATCCATATCATTATCGTGAAAGCTGCAAGTAAAATACTCGAGGTATATATGCTTAAATTGGCATTCATTGATCGAGCTACCAGCGGACGAGGGTGTCAGTGTGTGACAAAAATTAAAATTATCAAATTTCCCCCCTCGAGTACATAATCGGGACGGACTTGAGGAAGTCATAGTTTTCAGCTCACAACAGCAAGATTTTCAGCCATTTTTATTTTATCGCCCCTTATGAGGGTTTCACACCTCATCAAATCTCGCTTCCAGTCACTCATGGCCTCCTTAACATCTTGTTTGTCTACTGGTGCCGGTTTCAGATCCTCGCTGCCAGTACATTCATTGTCAATTCAACTCTTGGACACCGTGTTTTGGGGGGTTCAAGCCCGCCTCGAGGGGTCATGTATTCAATTAGGTGTTCTAGCTACAATTTCTTACAACTCCTCTGTCTGGGAGTTGGAGTTTTGAACTGAATATATGTGGTACCGCCTTAAATACATACTACAATGGAAGGGACAAAATGGGTTTTAAAGGGGAAAAAAAAAGGGGGGTTTGTTCCCAAAAGGGGAAAACCCCCCCCGGGGAAAATTTATTTCTTGCCGTGACTGGAAGTAAGCTTTTATGATGTCTAGAACCCTCTTAATGGGCAATAAAGCAAAAGAGACCGAAAATCTTGCTGTTGTCAGTTAAAAGGGGGGACTTTGGCCGTAAGTCCCTCCCTCGTCCCTCAACTACTCGGGAGGGGGGCACTTTGATAAGTTTAGACAAAGTACGAGCTGATGATGAGATGCTATCAGGCGTCTATTTGCGAAATACAAGGTGATTGAACTTAGTCACAAGGCTTCGAG